CTGAGACAGACTAGGAAGAAGGAAGAGGCTGTCCACTTCTGAAAGAATTGGCCAGGGAAAACCTTATGAATAGCAAAGAAACAGTGTTTGGTACAGAATCATCATATAATCCAAGAATTCCACTCTCAGGTATATATCTGAAAGACACAGGGACTCGGTTACCTGCACATTAATGTGCACTGCAGCATTATTCATAAGAGCCAAAGGGTGGAAACAAACCATGTATCCATCAAGATGAATGGAAAAAGAAAATGTACATAAATACAGTTCCGTAGTGATACTGCCCCAGAAATCCAAGGAGGGGTCGCTATGAATCGGGTCCAACTCGAAGGCATATAACAACAACAACAGAGGCAGGTAAGAAGGGGAAATAGAGTTATTGCTTAATGAGTACTGTGCTTCTGTTAAGGGTAATGAAGAAATTTACAGACACTTTAAATGGTTGTACAATATGGTGAGTATGATTAGTATCACTGAACAGTACACATAAAAACAGCTGAAACAGCAACTGTTTTGTTATACAATGAAACCCGCGATAGACGGAACTTGATAGGAATACCTTGTTTTTCTGGGTCTCATAAATTTTCTGTCTTTGACAGGGTACAGTCTTACCACTTGTCTGGTTTGTTTTAGTGAGAAGTATTTGAGTTTTCCTTCTCTGACAGGTTTCCACATTATACGGGTTCTGGCTTTCACAGATTGTACTATATATATTTTATCACAATTTTAAAAAAAGAGAGAATACATTGTTTTATATATATATATATATATAAATATATATATAATAAATATAATAAAATATAATTATATATAATATATATTATATATATATATATAAAACTTTGAAGAGGGCTTTTGCAACTGATTTGCTGATGTACTATATAGTTTGATTTCTCGACTTTCTTGACTGCGGCTTCCATGGGTATTGATTGTGAACCCAACCCAATCAATACATATACATAAGTGCTCTAATTCTAGTAATATCATACTGGAAGAAATAAATAATACCCAACTCTGTAAATGTCAGATGTTGCATACACTTAGACAAATTCTAAATAATATCAACTAACTGATCACAAATGGTATTATCTTTATGAAAAATTATAATTCTAGATAGAAATAAAGCAAACATCTTAATCTTGGATAGGAAGCTTACAAAATAAATCAGACAGACATGTAAGACCCTGACATGAGGAATGGGAAAAAAAAACATAGCACTCCTGGCTACAGATCAGGGTTCTCTGAACAAAATGTAAGCCAAACATCTGTCCCTGCCACTGTGGGGAATTTGATAGGCTCCCACTGACAAAAACAAGCAGTTGGTTGGGGAACAAAACCCACTGCCATCAAGCTGATTCTGACTCATAGTGATTCTAAGACAAAAAAGAATTGCCCCATAGGGTTTCCAAGGCTGTAAACCTTGGAAGTAGACTGACTCACCTTCTTCCCCCAGAGCAGCTGGTAAGTTTGAACTACTAACCTTCTGGTTAGTAGCCAAATGCCTTACCCACTGGTAGCTTGGAAATAAGACCACTATTCCTAGAGGGCTGGCCAAGGAGCTCTGGTGGTAGAGTGGTTAAGGCATGTGGTTGCTAACCACAAGGTTGGTGGTTTGAACTCACCAGCTGCGCCATGGAAGAAAGATGAGGCAATCTGCTTCCATAAAGATTTATAGATTTGGAAACCCAACAGCGGTCACTACGAGTCCGAATCAACTTGATGGCAGTGAGTCTGCTTGTTTATTTGTTTGTTTTGAGACAGCTGAAAGATAGCATCTTTCTTCCTGCCTTGACGCTGAGGAGGTTTTAGGCCACTTAAATTGTGTGAGGAGCTGACAAAGTGCTTCCATAGAGAACTCTTAGGGAACATTAAATCAGAGAAAGAATGAACATGGAAAAATTAAACTTGATAATATGAAGTTTAGAGAAAAAAAAGTACGTGAAATAGAATCACATGGGCTTTTATGAATCTGTTACCATGAACCTGGAAGACACAGATGGTCATTAACGCAGGTTTTAGATGAATGTAGATAGATACGCTGCCATTTCTGACAATTCTCATCTTTCATAAGTAATCACTAAAATTGTTTTGCTGTTGATATTTGAATTACTAATGATTGTGGGGTTAATAATTTTGTACTGGAAAATCTCTCCCAATTTATAATTTGATGAAGGGAAAATTTTAGAGCTCTTCTGATAAGTTAAGCTTATGAAAACAGTCTTAAAGTTTCTGATGAAAAGGATAATTCAATTTCTGGGCCGATTACGCATGTCATAATTCTTGTGACTCATAAAAATGCATCTCAACATATTTCACATTTCAACATTTCAATTTCACGGTTTTAATAAACAAGTTTCATTGGTGACTACAGGAAGCAAAAACAGGTGGTTTTCACTCTTACACAGTCTAATAATCAAACATTTGGACTAGATCAATCTGCAAAAATTTGCCTTGAAATAGGACAAGTGAGATTCTCTGCTCTAGACTGTTCTTCCATAGACCTTTGTTTATCTAACTAATGACCTCTTTTCATGTGAGAACTCCAAAGGAGACTCTGTTTAGGATTTTTTTTCCCCTAATATACATTATGAACTTTCCCTTTATCTTGAATAGTTTCTGATCTTCCTATGAAGAGATACTAAACAAGTGAAAATAAGATTATAATCAACTAAAGCCTTGAAGCTAAAATACAATTACAAGATGTATTTATTAAAGTGCTAATAATTTAGATTTTGAGCAGTACATTTTCATAAATATTCAATAACTCAAAACCCTATTTTAAGCAGACTTTTTGGGAGATGGAAGATGACTCACAATATTATTCTAATTTGAAGGGGGAGAAAGGCACATTAATGCAATTAGCACAAAGCACCAAAAAAATAAAATTACAAAGAATCTTATTCTAGTATTCCAAGACAGAACAAAGAAGGACGCTAAAATATTTTCACAGCTGGGGTTGGCTTCTTAGTTGCTGAGTTGCTTTTGAAGTTTATAGTATGAAATGTACAACTGGAAATGTTTACTGATTGTATATAAGAAGGAAAATATAAAACCAAGCCAACATCATTACTTCACTGTTTACAGATGTAGCAATATCATTTAACAGAACACTCACTGTGTTATGCCCTTTTGCTCTTCTTCCATATGTATATTCCAAAGCTAAGGTTGGTTTTGGTGGCTCATCCCTGTACAAAAAAGGAATGTATCATTTCCTTATGCTATCACTTTATCAGATTAAATTTTGCTTCTTCTTAAACACTTTATCAGTAAAGAAGTTAACTTGGGTAACAGTAATTAAAGTAAAAATGATAAAAACATTATATATATATATACATGCTTTCAAAACTATTCGAATGAAAAGCCATCTTGTTAGGTGTTAGTGGCAGCTGCAGATGTGAATTAGGGCACATGCATGATGAGGGGCCAACAGGGCTAATGGAGAAGATGATGAAGCTGGCAGTGCTGACAGCCATGTTGGGCACAGGTCAGCTAGACAGCACTGACATCAGGTTTATGCTCAGCTTTGGCACAGAAAGCTAGGAACCTAATAACCATCAATTTAAAGGGGAAGTTAACGGAAGACTTTAATATAGTTCTCTGTCTTAAATTATGGCTCAAACTTGGTATCATTTAGCTAGTGAGAGTTGTAAACAAACAAATGATATCAAGTCCTAAAAGTCAAATGATTTAAAAAATATTAAAATGATTTAATGAATTATTTACACTATAGCTTATATTAGGAGCTCTGGTAGCATAGTGCATAAGGCACTTGACTGCTAACCAGAATGTTAGTGGTTCAAATCCACCAGCCACTCCTCTGAAGGAAGGTTGGGCAATCTACTTCCGTAGTGATACTGCCTCAGAAACCCAAGGAGGGGTCGCTATGAGTCAGGTCTGACTCCTCAGAACAGCATGTGACATGACATAGCTTATATTGCTTCAAAAGTAGTTTTTTGGTATATATATATATATATATATATATAAAGTCAGAGGACAAATATTTTTAAACTGTTGATTTATAAGTTTATGTTTCTTAAATATCACTCCTGCTTTTACATACACACACACATACACACATACACATATATGGACTAATACGAATATGTATATAGGACATATATAGAAGCCTATATATATGATCTTATACATATGAAACAGAATTTTTTGTTATCTATGAAGACTGGGTGATTTATTTCCATAGTGATACTGCCTCAGAAACCCAAGGAGGGGTCGCTATGAGTCAGAATCGACTCAACAGCAGTGAATTTGTTTCTTTCTGGTTTATATATTGATATATATATATCTAATATATGTTATATATCTTGAAGGAAAGAAAATTGTCTTTCATGAAACAAAGCTTTTAAGATAAAATTTATTAAGAACTGATTTTTAATTGACAATTTGCAGAACTGCTTTTTTTCCAAAGACTGTTGTTGTTGTTGTTATGTGCTGTTGAGTCGGACCTGACTCACAGTGACCCCTCCTTGGATTTCCGAGGCGATATCTCTACGGAAGTAGACTGCCCAACCTTCCTTCTGAGGAGTGGCTGGTGGGTTTGAACTGCCAGCCTTCTGGTTAACAGTCACATGCCTTTAGGCACTATGCCACCAGAGCTCCCTGAAGACTATTAAGGAACTGAAATTAAGAATTTTCAGTTCAATGAAGTATTCTGTAGATCAGCCTTCCACTTAGATGTCTTGTTTGTGGCAGGAAACACATCTGAAAGTGGGTCTAAAGAGAGCCATGATCCCTGGAAATGGGGATCATGTAGGTGTCACTGTGGATGATTCTTCCTGATAGAAAACAATTTGGTTGGTAATAGAAATTCCACAAATCTAGGATTCTATTATTTATATTCTTTAATAATATTTTTCAAATGAATGATGTTTCTTCAATATGACCACAGGGCCAAGTTCTCTCTCTTGTAATGTTATGGAGGAAGAAAAAAGAAATATGCATTGGAATGAAGGAAACAGAAAAATATCTTGCAAAATTGGTTGAAGACTTTCCTGATTAACTTCCTGCAACATCTACTAATCATAATCCCAAATCTTTATCTGATGGCATGCTTCTATGATAATAGAACCTTCTATGATAATAGAAGGTTAAGAAGTATTATAAAACAAATGGTACAATTTACAGTTTGAGGATCAACTTCAAAAGTATATCCATGAGCAATTTAAAGATGGTAAGGTTCAATTAATCAGAGAATATTTAGGAAAAAAGTAGTTTAAATAGTAGAGTAGCATGGTCAAAAAGAAAGTAAGTAATATTGTAAGGTGGGTAGTTATGGTAACATTTGTCCCCAAAAAAGGGAAATCTTGTATAATATTTTTGGCTTGTGTTGGTTACAGGAGCTTTTGAAGGCTATATAATTCACTAAAAATTAAATATTTTATTTGGGTCTCAAAAGTATTCTCCTTCCATATGTCTTTTAGAATCTAACTTGCCCTATATAACTAGAATAAGCAAAAATGTAGTCAAAAGGTTAACATACACTTACCTGTCAAGACACCTTAGAATAATAGTAGTCTTTCCCTAGAAATTCAAAAAGAATACTGTGTTAATGTCATCCATATGTACACTTTTATTATTGTTCCTAATTGTGGCCCCAAATAGTTTTTAATCACTTGAATGATAAATTACTTGGAAACGAGAAACTACAACTTTCAGAATTGTTCTTGAGTCTGGTAAGTGGAAAAAGTTAACTGTCGACTTTCCATCACAGTGTAAGTCCACTGCTATTTTCATAATTATAAAGTCCTGCAGATGACAAATACTAACAAACTGTGCCTTCCTTTAGTGGTCAATGTGGCAGCTGTCTTAAATTTTCTCTCTACTCATCAATGCTAATTACTGGGTAAGCTGATGATTAGTGTCTTCTAAAATGTTTTCATTCCAATTGTTGAAGTGGAAATAAAGAAAAAAGATAATATACAAATAAAGGACAAACTGCAAACATGCTCAAAGTGAGCAATTCACATACTTTTTGTTTAATTCTAGAGGATGTACTTATTCCAATTTTGTCTTTTCAAGAGTCAAGAAATACAGATTCTGGCCCCATTTCTCTCACTAACCAGAAACTTACTCTCACATCATAAGCTAAGGACTGGCTTGGTGGTTTGAATGTCTTTTTTTTTAATAGTAGAAGTCTGTTTTTTGGACTTCTGGTAAATGGCAGAATAGGGAGAAAGACAGCACAGACCCCCTTCAACAAAGAAAAGGGGAACCAATTAACACAGACACAGAAGATAATCCTGGACCCCTGAGCCTTGAAGGGAAGGATATAGAAGTGGACTAAACCCCAAATAGCAGAAGAATTTGCATGAAAATACCAAAAAAAAGGAGACATAAGGAGCTGCGGTCTGGCAGAGATCCTGAGCAAACCTGAAAGCATGGCACAGACAGCTTGGAGAGTGTCGAGTGGTGGTAGGAGCTAAGAATTAACCTAAAAATCAGCCCTGCTAGCCAGGGACGGCATGGAGGACTGCTCTGGTGGCTGGGGAATAGAACGTGAAGCACCGGCGAAGAGAAAGGTGGGCTGAGCTATGGGCTTTTGCCTGTCTGGAGGATGCCGCCATTTTGAATGTTTACAGCGGCTTGACCATTTTGGATATTTAAAGAGACAGCACTCTCTGAGATTCCAGGAGCTTAAGAAAAGGTTCTGCCTGCCAGTAACCCCAAGGACACCCCGGCCCTGGATGACTGAAAAGGTGTGACATTCCTCTTGTTATTCTTATACCCCACACCCCTTGTGAACGGAGGTGTGGCCATCTCCCACTCCCACCCACCTTCTGGGCCCACAGGAACTCCATCCCAGTCTGTGTGCTCAGGCAGAGCCTGGGTGCCCTGCCCTACCCTCCCCCGATTTTTTCCTTTTTCTTTTCTTTTCTCCTCTTTCTTTTTTCTGGTTTTTGGTTAGCTTGTTTTTGTCTGTTTTAAAACTACTATTATTATTAATACATTTGTCCTTTTTACTATTATTCTTTATCCTTCCCCTCCCAGGTCCTACTTTATAGCTCTTTTTCTTTTTCCTGTTCATGGTTGCAAATTTTTTTTTCTTTTTTTTCCTCATGGTTAAACCTGTTCCTTGTTTTCCTTTTTGTACTTTTCCCATTTTTTTCTTCATTATTCTCCTCTACCTTTTTTCTCTTATTGCCCTATACCCAGATATTGCAGGTTTTCTTGCTTTTTTCTTCTTCTTTTTCCCTTTTTTTTTGGTTACTGTTCCTGTGTGATTACATGGTGTATTTTTTGTCCATGTGCTTTTAGTTCTTTGATGTTTATTCAGTTGTAATTTTTGTCTAATTGATTGGGAGACAGCAACAGTCCCCATAAGAAACAACTACACCCACACCTCCTGCAGCTTCACTTACTGACCGAGAGCCACTTCCTCCTTCTCCATCAATGAGCCAATGATAAAAAACCACCAAGAAGAGACTGAATCACCCTTGGCTACTCTTCACAAACAGTTAACAGAGATCTTAATACAACAATGCCACAATGTCTTGGAGACAACAGATCATCACAGTCCACACAAAGAAGCAAGATAAAGTGGTAGAAACAAGGGAACAGGATACAGACCAAAAACACATCCCTGAGGAAAAAGCAGCACTGGAACTCTCTGATAAGGAATTCAAAAGAATGATATTTAGGTATCTTCAAGGACAGAGAGATAGACCACAGAAAACACAGAAAAAACCCTAGAAGAATTCTGGAAGAAAATACAAGAACAAAATGACAAAATAAATGAAAAATTAGAAATGATTCTAAATCTACAGATAGAAATCCAGAA